GTAAAGTCGATATCAAAGACATAAATAAGTCAGTCCAAATATTGTTGCACATTTCCACTTATAAAACATCGTCGAATCTATATGATTTAAAATAGGTATTTCATTAAAATTTATACAAAACTAGTTGAATATATATACATTTACTTTTTACTATCGTCTGAAGCGATTTGCGAGGCGAGATTTGCAAATTTCGCCATGTAATCAACGCTGTTTTCTCCCATGAGACACTGCATGTGTGAAACGACCTATAGCATTAATACAAACATTACCATTGACTGAAATTTAATATATCTGATTTCATTTTAGTTTGACTTTTAATATTTACATCAGACGATGGACGACTATCTTCTACAATATTGTCTCCGTTTTGACTTCTTTGTGAGATTTTCATAGGAGATTCTAGTTGACCCAGAAAGCTGCTTAATGAAAAATCTGCTACCTGTGATTCGATTTTAATATTAGTAAAGGGAAAAAATTATTTCTTGCTCTAGTTTCGTAAATTCAACGATTAGAAAATTACCTCACTGTTCAACCATTGATGTTCTCCTTCTTTAAGTATTTGCGTGGCGCTTGTTATGATAGAATTAGTAGGTTTCGAATCTCTTGCCACTTCGAATTCATCCAAAAAGTTTTTCTCTTGGTGTGGTTCGCTTATATTTATGGATAGAGGTTTATTATTTTGTTGATCATTGTGGCTTATAGAAGAATTAGTTATTTTGTTTGTCTCTTGCGAATTGGGCGTTATATCTTCTACTGGACTACTCGACGTGGATATCAGTGGCAATACCCTTTGCACAACAAGGCTTTTTTGTCTTACAGTTCTACCACGTTTACAAAAACGCGTTTTAAATTTCTGCATTTCAAAAAATAAAATCACGTCATCAATAAATGATATCATGTAAAAAATACTGAACGTGAAATAATGCCTTACATCTAATTGCGTTTTGAAAGCATCTGGTGTACCAATTTTGTGATAAGTTTGTGGAACAAGAGGCCTTCTGAAAGTCGATTCTTTCGTTGAAAGTACTCGAGATGAAATCACAGTCTCATTACTACCAGAAGTATTGTCATATACCTAAATGTTGTAACAATAATCCGCATATTTAATCTTGAATTTACGTTTTCAAAGTATCTAAGATTTTACCTTGTTTGTACCATAACTGTGTTTTGCTATAGACAGTAGCTTCTGCAAAGTTAAACACAGATTATCGTCGCGCAAGCATGTCGATGTGGACTCTCCAGTATTTTGTTCTCGAGGATTCCAGTCCCACCAATACTCCAAAGTAATTTTCGATTCCCGACCGAACTAGAAAGCTTAAAAAATTAGAAATGACGCGCTTCTAATGACTAAGAAATGCAGCTTGGTGTTTTGAGGTTTTTGTTCTGTATAGATTCCAGTGAAATGTGTACCATTAAAAAGAGGTCCCCTACAGTGATGGTATTTGCTTCTTCAACGTTCCATCCTTTTCGAATTCTCTCGATGGTTTCCCTTCCTGGAAACCTGTTAGGTTCCGTTTGTTGTTCTGAACTTGATTTTTCTGTATTATTCACAGTCGATGGTTTTTCTAAAAGGTTGCTGCCAGATTCTATCACATCTATATCACTATTGTTGTCAGGTAAAGTACAATTCTCTTCTATTCGATTTGCACATTTCTTGTCTACTTTGTTCTTTTTTATTCCCTTTTTTCCAACCCCTTTTAAGTATTGTACTGATCCCAAAAGATCCATTCTGGAACTTTTTAATCCAAGACGTTTTTCATAGGAATTTAAACTAACACTATTGCTAGTGAGATACTCTCCAAGATTTACCATTGGCAAAGCAATTTTACATCCTTCAGATGGTGCCACGCGTAAAAGTCGAGTATCCTTCATTTCATTGTTAACAACATTTTCCACATTAGAGGACTACATTGTATGTATAGGATTTTTCTTGATACTTTCGTTTTATGTGAAGCAATGATTCTATTCTAAAGTAAGGATACTGTGTTATACTTTGCAGGCCTCCATCTTTGTTGCAGAAATATTAATAAACTAGATAAACGTCTTTGTATAGGCAGCAAGGTGCGTACTCTTGGATTCATTGATGATGCTTGCACCTGCCACCATGCCATGTTGTTACGGGGTCTTAATTCAATGGTTATTCTAGATGGCAATTTGATCTCTTCTTGCCAATCTGCCAAAACATTGCAATGTTACACAGTTTATGAATGATCTATAATAATTCATGATTTTATTTGTTAAATATACCTTCTAGTTGATTTAATTTTCTCAATGCTCTACATATAGGTGTTTTAATTCTCATAGTTTTTCCTCTAAGTCTGACTTGTGTTGAACCCCAATAAACTAATTCATTTAATTTCAAATGTATTTTCTCATGTATCCGGGGTAACTTCCTTCTAAGTTCACCATAGTTAATTAACCCATATAACTCTTGGGAAGTTTTCTTTACATCTGTACAATAAAACATTTATGTTATTAGCTTGAAAACTAAATTATAAATATCCATCAAATAAATACCTTCTGAGAATTTCAAATGTTTAGAAATTTTTAACCAAGTCCTATAATAAAAGTGTCTTATCTGTTCCTTATTCTTTATCATAACATCTGGTAGACCTTTCTTCTTTCCTTGACACAAGAAATAACTCTGTAAGGCATCAAAGTCTTTTCCATATTCGTTCAAAGCCTTGAAGAAGGTATTTTTATCTTCCATAGACCATAATTCACAAGACCTTTTCATAGATCTTACTTTGGCCTCAGCATTATTCTCTTCTTCCTTGGAATCTGCACACAGTTACAAACAATTTTTCGTAATTATACAATTAAATAATTATTGAGCCTTGTCCATTTCACTGACTTCTTTTGAGTAATATATATGTCACCAATTAATTATAAAAACAAATACCTTTCTTTTCCAAATTATTGCTATCACCAGCATCCAATTTCATTTTTTTCGTGCCTCGAACGACGCGAATTTGAGTATTTTTGGAATCCGTGGGTACCTTGGCCTCTGAACAATTTTGTACATTCTGTGGTGGAGTTTCTTCTTTTTTGGTCACTGAATTGTTTCCTTGAATTTCAACATCTTCGTTTTTCGCGTTATTTTCCATTTTGACGTCTTCGTAAAAATTTCAAGTAGCAACCACGACAACTTCGAACCCTTAGGTGTTCCCAATCTTGTGACTTACCAGAACAGGTAGTACTTTTTCCGACAACATTGTAAATTTAGATCGAATTATGCATGTACCACAATTAATAGTATTCATATCATAATTTCATGGCAAAATAGTGTTAAAAGTTCCATAAGTACAATTAAATTATAAGAAAATAAACGTAATAACGATTTAATGCTACGTTAGAACGTAGTTTTATCCATACGTGTGAACGAATGTATACACGAGCATTTTCCAAGCCAGAGCTGTTTAATGGCTCAAAAAAATTAATTTCTATATGAATATGTACACGATCTAATCAAAAAGTCGCGTAATTATAAAAATCTAACGATGTCGAAATTCACAAAACACGATAAGTATTCCCATCCTACTGTGCGTTCTTACTACAGACTACACAATTCTGAGCGTGTTTCCGAGCGGATCAGATACTTGCCCGATATAAAATCCAAAATCAAAAAATTATTCAGAACATTACTATGAAGAAGCATAGTATAAGATCATTGATCGAATTAGAACGATTACTGTAACAATTAATTACTGTGTGGTAAAAAATCTTTCGAAAGTTTCGAACAGCCATGTCACACAGTTGTCTACTATCCGCTAAGAGACAGTTTAGAAATGATTTTCGCGCTATACTGGCGCTGTGAGTGGCGTCGTGCAAGTGCAACGGCGGGCCAATAAAATCACGCAGATTATCATACACACGACCAATTGAAATTTTCATTTTTTGCGCGTAGAAAGGTGCATCGTTGTTTCCGATCTAAATTAATTATTTTCCGCAACGTTGTTCGTGGACGGTGGCCTTGGATAGGAAAATCCGACTCGAGCGGACCAGTGTACTTAATTAATAAATCAATCGATTCATTTTAAAAAGAGACACACTCGGACGTTGACCGACGCCTTGATGGAGCCAATAACGACGTGGTGCGACTCGGTTACGGGGCTACTCTAATATTCTATAATCGCTCACGCGTGTTATGCACTCGTCAAATTCCATTGCCATCCCGGTTTTGATAACTGTAACCTTGGATATATTCACTATTGCGGGACTACGTCAAAGGTGACAACGGGCCAAGAGTATTCGGTTTTATTTGACTTGTAGCAAACTGCGCAAGGGGGGCGCGAGGTGTCAGTGACAAGGAGTAGCTAACCTTAAAATGCGAGTATCCGTGATTACTGATGCGACTGTATTGTTCGGGCTGCACTTCTTGTATTGGTGTTGCAACACGGTAAATGCCAGTGGTGGGGCCCTTGACTCGAACCTGAACTTTCAGTCTGGCTCATCTGGAAGCTCACATTCCAAAGTTACAGGATTCTCTGCCACACTCACAGATGGACTGGCACAGGCTGTGGCCCATGAAACTGGTAAATTTTGTTGCTGATCATCTATCAATGTCTTGTTTGTTGTCCCAGCATTGTTTACATTATGTACATTGTGTTGTCTTCTAATGAATCATCCAATGGATTTAATTAATTTCACATTTAGACTTCTCTGTATACATGTGAATAGCTTACACAGCATGCTCATGCATGATAGTAATGTTTAGTTTACAGAAGGAAGATAGGTGTATTTGTTCTGTGGTATCATATTGTTTGAATATGTTTGCTGAGCTTGATTTGAAAAGGGATAAGTGTTTAAGATATTTTTTAAAGTTTCATTTTACTTTTTTGTAATAGAAAGTGTTATTTGTTGTTGGTTGTACAGAAGATACAAATGTGTTTATGATAAAAAAGTTTACATTTTAAAAGATAAATGATCTAATCATTCAAAGATTAGTCATATTTCCATTCAGTAACAACTTATTGCCAAGTTGCACCATATGTATTAACAAATTTTCACATTTTTCATATTGTTATTCTTGTATTAATGTAATTGGATAAAAAGCTGCTCACATGAGTTTAACAGATATAAATATAGTCTTAAAAAGGAAGGCACCTGTATAACAAGTTAAATGTAATCATAAACACATACAATCAAACGTAGGTTGTTTAATTTATTACAGGTTCCGATACTTGTAATGATGACCTAGCTTGTCTTACACTGGCTTCTCATGATCGACTAGGTTTAGAAGCAATCAAATTACTCCACAGTCAACTAGATGATGATGCCAATGGAAATGTGGACCTTTCAGAATCAGATGATGTAAGCAACTTCTTGCTTTTACATCTTCTTCTATCATAAGTTGTAAAAAATAATTTATTCCTTCTAGTTTTTAAGGGAAGAGTTACAATATGAAGCTGGATATGAAAGAAGGCAAAGGGCTTTCCATCATAATGATGATATGCACATCAGTGTTAGAGAACTCTTGGAAGCCTGGTTGAGGTCAGAGGTATTGTCTAATATATGATTTCTGACTTGGCAATTTCAATCTTTAATATCTTCTTATATTGATATACTTTCCCTTTAGGTTCATAATTGGACCATAGAACAAACATCTGAATGGCTGTCTTCTAATGTTGAGCTTCCTCAATATGTTCCTACTTTTATACAACATCGTGTAACTGGTGCTACACTTCCAATGTAATTTTTTTATAAAGTATATCATCTCCATGTTGCATAACTATTTATGTGAAAGTGTTTTATCTGATAAATATTGTTTATTTTATGTGTAGATTGGCTGTAAGCAACATGCACTATCTGAGTAATGTGTTAGGGATCAAGGATCCCATTCATAAACAAAAAATTGCCTTAAAAGCTATGGATGTAGTTCTTTTTGGACCACCAAAAGGTAAAACATTATTGAAAGCTCATACTCTCATTTAACATTTTTAGATTCAACTGTAACATCTATTTAATACTTTATTATAGATACTGGACATAGCATTAAAGATTTAATATTAATAACACTACTATTTGGAGCGCTTATCGGGTGTTGGTACGCGTATCAACAAAAGAAAAATTCACAAAAACATCTTCACAGAATGATGAAGGACATGGAGAGTTTACATAAAGCGGAATTAGCACTCGAAGATTTACAAGTATGTTATCTTGTTTTATATTTCTTAAGGTCCTATCAGAATGTTCAAAATATTACACGTCTTACGATTTATAGAAAGAATTGGAAAGAGCACGAATGGAACAAGAAAGCGTAACCACAGAGAAACAAAACTTAGAGAAACGTTTGCAAGACGAAAGTGTAGGATTACACGCTTCATACTCGGATCTTGAAGTTTCTCAATTAAAAGCGGAGATTGAAGTAATACTTCATTTTGTTGAACATCAAAATTCTCTCCAAGATCTAATCACTTTTGCACTTCACAGATGTTAAAAGTCGAGTTACAACGTGCAGAGGGTGAACTCGAAGACAGATGTTGGTCCCCTCCTCCAGGTTTGCAACACTGGCTACAATTGACTCATGAAATTGAAAATAAGGGCTATATAAAAAAAAAAATATCTGCAGAGAAACAATTACAACAAGCGCGAGAAGCAGTAAGTAATATATTTTTTACATCGTTATAGCTTTATATCGTTATAACATAATTATATATAATTTGTTCTTATTAATGTGTTTTTTAGTGCGAAAAATTACGAAAGAAACGATCCAGCTTAGTGGGAGCATTTGTTTCAACTCATGGAAAATCGATTGACGAAGTCGACAAAAGCATAGTTGATGCAAGGACCTCGTTGAACGAAGTTACCGCAGAGTTACAAGAGAGAGTACATCGTTGGAAACAGATTGAACTCTTATGTGGTTTCAATATAGTCAACAACAATGGTCTAAGCTATTTAGAAACTGTTCTCTATCGGGGGACACCTAACGGACGAGGTCTTGGACTCAGAGGTATTTAACTCTATGATGATTAAAAAATGATCTCTATAGTATGGTGTAATTTTTAAAACTTGATTACTGAATTAACGCTATTTCCTTTCTTTTGGTACTTCTAATTCTTTCAAACTAGTTAGGGTATATAATACCTTGAGAAAGAATTCCATTTTGTTTGGCAGCTTTAGTTCAATTGGTTTTATTAGGAATTTCTGATTTAGATGCTATAAATTAATGTGAATAATCGTTTGAAATTGATGTTTATAGGTCGACTCAGTAGCCAAGATGACTTAGACGACGAAGCAAGCTCAATGTACTCGCCTTCATCGTGTGGTGCCGCAGGTAAGCTGGAAACGGATTTCCACGAGCATTCAGATTGGTAATAATAATGCTCAATTTGTACATAATATTGTAACTTTGATAAGACACAATACCTATATATTTTCCATTTTCTCTCACATGAATGATGCTTTTCGAGATCAGTAATTTACTAACTCGTTTGTCTTCCTAGTAGTAGTAATTTGGGTTTTCTTTGTGACATTAATTTTCCTTCTTAAATGAACTTCGTACAGGTTGAATTCCAAATTCTTACGAGAATACTTTTAATGAGTGTCCTTAATTAGTTCACTAATCGTTCAAGAAGGTTTGCAATGAAATTGTGAACAAATTGTTCTTCGTAAGAATTTCTTCTTAGAAAGATCGAATTTTTTAATTAAGAAAAAATTCACGCGATGCCTTATGATTATTTTTGATAAAAGAAGTAGTTTTCGCAAATTATTACTTGAACGTCATAATTTATTATTTCCAAGAATGTAACTGCAGATATCTATGAAGAATGCTGTGTCTCTTAGAGATGCGGATAGCTAATGTCACACATTACAAAGAGAATATTTATATAAATATAATGTAGCATTTAAAAAAGAAAAAAGGGTAAAAAATATTTGTTCTTAAGAAAGCTTTATAGAATGGAAACGAAATCGAAGATTAATTTTATACATTATTGAGTATATTAAAATTTATTCTTGTTTTGTGTTTTTTATGTAAGGTGTTGCTAAATTATGCTATAAATGTTGTCTTATTGTTTTATTCTTAAGAAATTGTTCAATATTGCTTTCCCCTCTTTTTAAATGTTTAAATTATTCTGTTAACAATTATAGTTGTCTTTCATCATACAGTACAAAAGGTTTCTTGAAACCTCTTGCTTATGTGCTGCAACATTCGATATTATTTCCATTGCGTTGGTGTTTGTTTATGTTATATTATCATTTGATTCTAGGGGTGGAGGAAACTACACTTAGTGGTTCCAAAAAAGATTAACGAAGCTACATAATTAGAACTGTTTAAATACATTTTGTTTGCATATTATTCATCCTGCATATTGTACGGAATTTATATATAAGGGGATTTAATTTATTCAAAATTTATGAAAGTTATATATTTCATATATGTTAAAATGATAAATTATTTATTAAAATAATTATATGTGCCAAAGTAATGTGTGACAAAGCAAGCTCAATGTTCAACAAAAATGTTCGCAGTCAAGAGTGCATCATACCACGGAAATGCTTACGAACGAAACTAATGTGAATAGAAAACTTAATTATCTTTGATACATGACAATGCAATTAGTATTAAAAGCATCATCAAATCTTTGAGTAAAGTCCAATGAAGGATTTGTGTGCAGGAAAAGGGAGGATTATAATTGGAATGTTCCCCTTTCCTAATTGAGATTTGTCAGATTTTAACAGCGTGTTAACTATTTAAACAAATGACAAATCTTTTAACTTATTGTTAACGCGTAAGTTTATATATACACAGCAACACACTACACACAAACACATGCTACACATACGTATAATTAAAAGAGAAGTGTATTATCAAGACAATTATATCAAGTTGTTCTTTGCAACTACCTCTTCGTACAAATTATAAAATAAAAGGTTAGGATAACAATTCGGTAGAGAACATGACATACATATTTTTGTACGAAAAATTTTCATGATGTATCGAACGAACGAACATAGGCACCATCTTGTCGATGATTGATTTGAAGGTACCAGAAAGATGTGATATTTTTATGAATAGTATTATTCTTAATCGATTCTTTTTTTTCGATTTCTTTCGTAAGAATTTTACTTTTAAGTGTAGATTGAAGGGAGATCTGAGCCGTAGACAAAATTAGAGAAGTTGCAAAATTGCAACATTGCGCAATAATTCATTTCAAAGAATTAAAACTACCTAGGTTAAAAATCATTAAGCATAAAATACAAATTTACTGCATTCCTTTTTAAACTATTCTCGCTGTATATTCCTTAAGAAACACGAGAAGTTCAGCTACTTAACGACAGCATTAATTAATTCGTTTAATTGCCATTAAGTAGAGGGGTTAATTCGTGTCGCGACTACGGCTTCGATTCTGTGAATTCAAGTCGACCGCGATCGAATCGATACGTGCTCGATTGTTTATAATAAGCCTTCTAGTTCGTTCCTTCGTAATAGCAATATATCGAAGATGACCAAGTGCCAAGTGTGATAATTATTTAATTATCACTTTATTTAATGATAAGTGCCGATGATTGATCACCTATTATACTATTATACATAAATATATGGATATCATATATACATATATATATACACACACACACTATTGTTAGTTCCTTTAGGATATTAAACCAACGTAGAATTTCTCGTTTAATGTGCCTCGATTTTCTCGTGAGAATCAACCGATCGCTAAAGCGTTTTCTCGTTTCATCAAGAGTACGTTTCAATTTTGCCAGATCCGCGGCAATGCGTTGCACAACAGCCTCTTATTAATAGTTCGAATTAAAGGAGAACATAACATCCGAATCTGATCTTAATTGGACGATCATGTTTGTCTCTCTAGAGGTGCTTTTTTTCTTGCGTGTCGTCTGCACTTTAGAATTGTTTATCGTCTCGATTACAGGTTTTAGGAGCTAGAATCAACTGTTAGGTATAGTCTGAGCGAAAGATTTAGGTTACTCAAGTCTGCTTCTCCCACCAATTGGAGAGATTATCTCTTTCGACAACTTTCCTCAATTCCACCGTGCTTTATAACAATTTAAAAGTTGATAATAGGATTTTATCACGTAGAAAAATTAAATTTTTATTTGATCACCGAATTGATCTGTGTAAGACATAGTTAGAGCTTCAACAAGTAACTTTAAAAAGCTTTAGAGACCAAATTTTTCGCATACTATTGACATTAGTCACATGTAATACTCTTAAATAGTTAATCACTAAAATGAATTATCCTATAAAGAAATTTCAAAAAAGTATTTTGACGTGTGTGAAATAAAAATCGATAATAAATAATAGTACAGTAACTGTAGAAGTTAACATGCTTGGCAATGGGGAATAGCGGCCTTGAGCAGCGAAACCTTTCGGCCATGACTATAACCTAGCAAATACTCGAGCAGTCGGCGATTTCTGATTCCTGGGGTTCTGTCACGCGACAAATGATGCCAAGAAGTAAATTCTATTTCTTGGGAGAAACGCGTCACAGTTAATATTAGAATCAATTAAAATTAGATGCGACTGTATATGACCGAGGATTTTACTTCCAGGTGCAACACATACGTACACACACACTGACGCATTCTCGAATCGCTTTAATTTCACGCGAATCGTGTGGCAATCGAAACGGCTCTTTTCCTTCTATTATAAACTCGAGCATGTCATCAGCAATGAGTTATACGCGATCTATGTACGCACTCACACATATGCAGACAAACACTGGTAAACACATATGCAGACAAGACAAAAAAAGTTGGAGGATTTGTACATTGTCCGTCTGACTATTACAACACATGTTATTTCCCCTCCCTAAACGTTTTATTGTGTACGATTTATAGATCGCAGTTAATAAATCAAGCAACATGCGAGAAACCAAGAAACATGTGCCTTGTTTGTATGACCTAAGCCGCAGAGAAACGCTTCACGATGATCGATTACCCAATCGAGTATGTAATTTTAATAAATCCTAATCCCCTCGTTGATGGACTTTGGAACGTAATGAATGATTCTTTGTTCTTTGAATTTTGTATTCTCGGTGATTTATTGATTACAGTTGACTCTGTCTGCAGCTGGCATTGCAGATTTAGACTTCTGTTTCTATGGACAATTTAAGTATCTTCTTGTATTTGGTATTTCAATTAAAATTACATACTTGGTACAATGAGCACTGTTACTGTAATGTGACTGTCTTTGTTACCTGGAAACCAAAGTGAAGTTAAATGCTTCAATGTTAATTGTTAATAGTCTGTAAGTGTTGAATACTACATCTACCTGATGAAATGCAACAGACATGAATAAATGAAATTCACAGATGTTACTGTTAAAATAACTGAGTCTGAACAAGTCATAAAAAAATATCTTTTTCAAACAGAAATATAAAGGCATCATTCTTCCTAATTGAAGCAATAAAGAGTGAACTATTTTGTCTGCTTATTGTAGTCTTCAGACTCTGTCATTTTAACGTGGAACAGCATAAAAAGAGAGCTTGATTAAAAGATCCATGAAACGTGTTATTGTTCATAAAGGAGCTTATCAAAGACTTTGCCTGTTCCTTTTTCTTGAAAACAGGGGACCAAGCCTCGTTTTCTGGCGAAGTATGGCATCTGATATGCATGCAGACTTTTCTCAGAATTGATGTAACGCGAATTGGAAAAATTATCTTGGAAACAAACATGAATTCTGATCTGTAAATCGTCAATTTTCATGCATTGCGTTTTTCCTAAGTATCGTTTGTGAAGAAGCAAAGTATCACGACGAAATTTATACTCTTGACTGTAGAATATAAAGGAATACCATCCATTGTGTTGTTTGTTTCTCTTTATCCTTCCACAAACTGGTGCTTGCATGAAACTGATCTTTGACACTGACTTCTGATAGCAGTTGTAATATTAGTGCATGAAAATTACGACAGTAGAACGACTAACCGATTAAAAATATTCTCTAAAGTTATTCAAATATATCTCTATTGAAATACCAAAGACTGGATATCAATAAATCAATAAATCATCATCAGGCATCAAAGAAACTAATTTTAATTCAACTTCTTTCAAAAGATACTTCTCAATTCCTTTGATGCTTCACCAGTTAATTTATTGATACTTCCACTTGAAGTTACTCAAAATTTAAATTACTATCATCAAATATTTAATGATATTTAAATATTCTGTTTACTAAATGTACATTAAACTACTTCAGCTATATCAACTGTTCATCAGAACACTCCACTCCTACAACAAACCAACAACCATTACAGCTACATCTGTGTCAATAAACTTTCATCCTGACCCTCAGGTACCCTGGACAGCCTAACATGGAAGGAGTCATCATTGCCTCCAGATTCATCCAGCAGTGAGACAGGCAAGGAAACACCTCCTGAGAGTAATGTAGTGCACTTCACCGTTGGTGATGGGCCAGAAGAGCCTGTTAGGGCGTCCAGCAAAGAGAAGACCAACATTGTACGCTCCTACAGTCAGGATACAAACATGCTCCTGGCTGTGGAGGATAAGTCTACCTCATCATTCCTGTCGAAGACGTCTTATTCAGAGAACTCGTTGGACTCGTCGACCCAGGATCGATCAGGACAACAGAAGGTTGGTTCAGTGTCAGCAATAACCACCAGTACCAGTAGCACAAGTTCTACGACGACAAGCACGTCGAGCAGTCACAGGAAGGGGACGAGGGACGCTCAACCATCAACGATGGACGATGAGACGTTGTCGACGGACTCAAACTCCACCGCAGACAACGATGAGATAAAAAAACGTCGCCGGAAGATTCTGTTCCCTGCTTTTAGGAAGAACAAGGCCAAAGTCACGTGATGAAGCCCGCTAGTCAACGATTATAGCATTACAGTACATCTGTGTTGTAATTTCTTACTTAACGCTAACTCTCTTGTCGATCGATTAGTTGGTTATGAACCGCGACGTGCACTTAAAAAAAAAAGAAAATACGACTTGTCTCCGAGAACTGGTTGGTCACTGATTAGCAGCGATTAGGTACTGCCGGATACATGTACATATACGTACACGCATATACACACACAACATAAAACGCAGATATTGATTAGAGAGGCAGATGTAGCCGGGTAAAACATCTAAGACTACTTCGTTGGCCTCTTGGTCCTTATAATAAGGTCGGTCATTGGCGTTCAATAATTGTTTATACGAGCTACTGGAATTTGGTTATTGGAGATTCGCTGAGTACCGTAGAATCAGAGGAAGTACCTGGAAAAATAAGGAGACTGAAGAAAGGTCTTGGAGGTATAGTTAAGTTTTACTGAAGATCTAAAGATTGAAAGAGGCCCCTTATTTTTCAGTAAATTCTGCAGTATCCAATAGGGATTCAGTAGGAAGTAGTTTTTAGTCCGTTAGTCAGTAGACTAGAAATATGGTTCAGGGATTTGTTATTTGGCCACTCCAATTCTAGTAGCCTCTTTGTACCATGTATAGTCCGCGCTGAAACTTCTTCTGATGTAAATATCACGGACAGATGCATCTGTAAATGTCAGAGCCTACGTTGAAACGTGAAGGATGCAGTTGCTGTTCCGAAGTCTGTACATTAATGTATTATACGAGCATGTCGAGGAGGAAAATTCAGCTGAAGAAGTATTACACAGTATAAGCTATATGTAGAATCGTGTTGGTTATGCCAATGGTTGACCGTTTAAACAATACATAGTAGTGGTGTCGTTGTTTGAACAAGCATTAGTTACGTAAGTCTCGAGGGAAAATGATAAAATGGACTTAGTGGCCAACGATGGGGAGCTAGATAATTCTAAAAAGTATGTTCTGCCTGACTACTATTGCGTAGGATGTTTTTGGTGCCCCGGTGTGTCTCCTATTTTGCCAAATCTTCGTTCTTCTTGTAACGAGACACCACCAAGCGACGTCCGATCTTAGGTAGCTAGATATTTAGAATCACGATGCCGAAATTCTTTGGTTACGACATTACCCCGGCTTGGGGATGGGCGATCTTTCCTCTATACTCTTCATTTCCACTTTTGAGGTAGAGTAAAAAATCAACGGCTCTCTCTATCCCTTTTAATTGTATTGGAATCAAGCTTATCTCTGCTGGAACCTTTGGTTCTCTCACCTTTGTATTCCACTGAACAGTATTTAGTAGATATTCAGCTTTTAATCAGTCTCTCTCTGAAGCAAACGAATCTCGATTTTATGAAGTGTTTTGTACGTTAAATTCTGCGATGATTTGTGAGCTATTGTAGTACGTAGCGTCTCTCTAAAGTAGTGAAACCAGAAACTGGGTTCTGTAAGTTGGTTTAGAATTAATTGGCTACTCAAGGTCATTTCGTATATCATCATATTGAGTGTTATTTGCAAATAATTGATTTCTCTTACTATAAAATCGAAAGAAATAAATATTTTTTTAAATATTAGCATTAATTAATTAATTAGACTTTTTTTCTAAGCACAGTAGTGGGGGCAGTGTCCTTGAGCAGCCACATGTTTTTTTGTGAGACTGTAGTAATGTATCAATCTATTTTCTGAAGTAGTAGAAACACTCTGTTAAGTTCATTCCTATTTCTCCTTGCATTTTCATTTCTGGAATTGTTTCAAAGGCCAGTGAACAATTCATGATCCTTTAGAAAGGTTTCATCATTGATCATAAATCGTGAAAGTTTATCTATTCCCTGATTTTACCATGACTAAACTCGGCCTAAGTAATTATCCAGTGATAATTAAAAAAAAAAGTTGTTTTCAATTCACTGCTTCAAGAAGAATTTCACGAACCCAGTATTATTATTCCAGTTTCAATTGTTATGTAAAAAACAAGAAAAAAAGGATCGCCCATTCCTAGACCCCTCGAGAGATAAGTTTCTCGCATGCAAAAGAAACAAAACGAAATACTAATGCACTAAAACTTTTTCTTTATCTTTTTTCACCGATGACACTAGTAGTAGTCGTTAGACATAAATTTCTTTCTTTCTTCTTTTTGTATCAAATTTTTTGTAGGCTTCCATCGTAGTACAGGTCGAGCACAAATCAACGACGCTATTCTTCCATTGAGCTTCCTCTTCCGGTTTAACTTCCGTAAAGTTCGCTTAACAAACGTAATCTTTATAGTACTTCATCATTTTTTATTTAAAAGAAATAATTTTTTTGTTAATCTTTGATCTCATTACATCCGTGTATTGTTTAACTTCTCTTTATCTAAGTGACTGGGTATTTACCTTAACCTATTACGCCGATGAAATGTTTACGAAGCTCAATGATGAAGTAAGTTCCATTCGATAGCGATATAAATAAAATTCCACTAATGGATTTTGTACATTTTTAATTAGCTGAATTACACTTATTTTAAAATAGAAGATAACGCATACGCAATAAGACAAGCGCTGTTTAAGGTTAGGTCATCCCATGGGTAATGAGATTTTTGCATTGTAAACAAGCTTTGAAAAGCTTCCTTATGCGACTGTTGTGATTTTTTACATTATTTCTTTAGAAATAGAAATATACAAATTTACGATTGTAATTGTTTTTAGTTCCAACCAATAAAATATTCTTTCTATAAATCCTGACACTCATGGGATGACGTGATAAATGGTCAATCCTTTGAGGTCGAACTGGTGAATTGTAAATAGAATATCTTTGAGAAGCAATAATTGTTAAGTCTATGAGTATATAAGATATATTCTATGTACTTCTTCCTTCAGATGAGTTTACAGAATGAAATTTTTAAGTATTACTAGGTTATATGCTATAAACGAAGCTCACGAATCTCAAGGGAAGACCTCAGAGGATAATGTACTTGACAGAAGGAAGAAAAACGTGATTAAAAGCTACTTTTGTGCTCTACCACGTACCGAAAGAAAGCGTGTCAAAATTGTTCGCGACTTTCCACGAATTGAAAAAAATTCCCACACAAATCAAGGCATTTTATAGTCGCGTTTCAACTCGTGCGTCGTTTATTCTGTTTTTTTTTCTTTTTTTTTTAAACGTCTCGTCCATAATATTGTGACACCTGTTGTACTTCACTTTTTAGCGTTTAAACAGTTATAGTCTGTCTGGAATTAATTAGCCGTACAAGGATCATGGGATTTCCCCTTTTTTGCCGCCATTGTTGTAGTATAGAAGAAAGCCAGACTGATGTTATACAGGGTTTAAGAATGGTTGTCTGACAATTTTCAGGTTTATAATATCGAAAGAACTGAGTAAAATAAGTTTAATCAACGTAGTTTTGCAAATTATTTTGTACGAATACTTTAAGTGAATAATTCCTTTCTTTAAAGATATTTAAGAATAGTTGAAGTAAAACTGTAAAGGCAATACGAAGAGGGTTAACCTAACCTAACCTTGACTGGTTAATTAATTCTGGATAGACTATAGAATTAACTTATTATCGCTTCCCTATCGTACGTGATTTCCCACGATTGCCAATTATGGCAACGAACGTCGATACAGGATGGAGTAGTTTCTTCCTTTCTTACCATGTTTTTTTCTCTCTCTCTATTTTTTATAGATAATATATATATGTATACATGTGTATATATATACACACGTATACACGCAGAAGCTTAAGCGCGGTGAGGCTGGAACTCTCTGAAACTTGTATTCACGTAAGGGACGATAGTGTGATAAAGTCTTAACTCGACGTTTGTCACACGGATGTGCAAAGTCGTAATAAGCAAATCAAATAAGTGTTATCTCACCCACGCATCGATTGCCTCTCCGTGGATCAATTTCTGACCGCTTTTATAACAAATTTTTTTATCGACAAACTTTTTAAATAATTTTTTTAATATTCTACGGTTGCAAACGTTCAGTTAAAGAAATACATATATTCTGTTCGTTAAAAAGAAACTAATGCCACGGAGAGACCGAACGAACTCTTGTTATTCTTCGATTTTGATTTCACTCGGTTCCTTCGGACGCTCGCACGATTAATCGATCACAGATCCGCTTGATCTTCTTCTCTTGTGCTACCCAATGTTTTTGTTATAACGTGCGTTTACTTTTGCCGTGTATTTTCACCTGGCTCCAAGAGTAGTGGATTCCGTTAGCCACTTTGCGGTTTATTATTTTACTTTGCCTTCTAAAACCACAAGCGAGAACCGACTTTTTTTTATCTTTTTCGTTTCGCTGTTCCTTTTCTCCACGCGATGCGCATTCCTTTCGCCGGCTTATTTTTTTCCAGTTGACACTTAGTTCGCTCTCCTCTCCTAACTGGCAAACTGACACATTTGTATCTCAGGGTAGATAGAAATATTCTTCTTTGAGGGCTCATTTTTTAAGATTAACTTGAACGTGACCGTTTGGAGAGGCTACTTAGGAAAGCTTGCTAGTACTAACACCTTAATTACATACGGATGTATTTGCAGTTGATACTGTTGGAGGTTTCCAGGTTTGGGAAACGTTTAAGGATGTATTAGTGTTGGGAAATTGCTCCTGGATTGTGTTACTTGGACGTTGATTTTCTAAAGCACAAAATTACAAAGTTACTCTGATACAAAGTTAGAGAAAGTTATGTAGGTACAGTATTGTTAAATTATCAATTTTCAATATGCTTTCATATGAGGTTCATATTTGGAAGCCTCAAACAGTAAAGGAACATCTCTATATTATATTGACTTTAAGAATATGTGTATCATAAGAGAGCAATAGACAAAGGGATCTGATGTTCAATGGACCAAGTTCAATTAACATATGTACATGAGAAGTAAGGAGAATGATAGTTGCAAGGATCAAGATGATCTCTTCTAGGCTCAATTAGATAATAGCATGGGAAATGATTGTTATAAAAGACTCAATGAACAGGTGTAGCTTGTGTGAGGGCTTCCAGATTAACATGATCCTGTAATAATTATCAATTCTATGACAACATATGTTTAGCAGTGGTATAAATTTACCATCTTTATTATCAAAAATGTATCACTGATGAAATGCTTCAAGAAGTGCTCTAACATTTAGTTAGAGTATTCTTTGAAATTCCTGAATTCTAACTGATCAAAATATGAAAGGTAAATATTATATTAGGTCCCAAAATGTGTGTCAATTAATTCTCTTGCAGTCTCCTAAAACAGAAAATGGTAAAAAAAACATTTATAGTTTTGCTTTTAAAAAATTTTAACGAATTCCATAAAAAATTATACCAAAAACTTTTTCATGATTAATACATCTCGGTAAATACCTAAGACTGCAGCGGATTAATAAATAACGAAACCCTGAAATTTCAATTTGTATCACGTTGCAAAAAGGAAAGCAAATGTCGTTAATATCTGATATATGAATCATCTCCCTGTTTGTCAGGGACGCCACGTCCGCGGAAAAGAAAATGTCTCATCCTCGCAATCCGAGTCGTAGATCAGCCCGTGTGACATCTTTATGGGTGTCCCTTATCTCGACAGTCGAAATACAGAATAAAACTGAGGGTCAATTTTATCAAGCTCTTTGCTCCTCTTCTCGTGCAACCATAAATATAATCTCCCCTATCAACCCGCAACCTTTTCGACAGGAAGCGAGATCACAGACCGTCCGAAAAATCGTGTACCGTCCTCGTTGGGACGAGATTCTCTCGTCTGTGTTGCAATATCGAGTACGAGATTAATGTGATTTTAAAACGATTTATAATCGAACATTTCTCGTATGAATGGGATTCATTTGTTCACTCGATAAAATATGGCCCCCGTGTATCGATACTCGTTCCCGTTCGAGAGACTTAAAATGAACGCAGAGCCATCGAGGACTGTGTAAATAAAGCGAAACACCAAGAATTTGTATGAGAATAAAATGTGTCAGCTTCGTTTTAGTGTCTTACTTCGTGTTTGACCCATTAGGTACCAGCATTAAAAGTGATTTTCCAAGTTGTGAATTTTTACATACTGTAGGGGAGTCCCTGTTTAGCAGCCCTTTTGCTTTGTTGAAGCTGTAATGGCACATAGGCGATCGTAAGTAATGTTGATTATATTTAAAATGTTTAATAATTGTTGGAAATTTGCTATAATCAAATGGAAAAGTAATTTATAGAATAAAATAGTTAAATATGCTTTAGAATATTTACAGAAGTTAGACACTGGGGATACGTATACTGTATAACCAAATATAGAGAACAGTTATATCGAGTTATTAACTGCGCAGGTGATAGCATCTTTGATTCCGGCCCAGGTGGCCGGAGTTTGATTCTTGTCAGGCTCGATTTTTAAGTTTCTTTGATTTTTCATTAACTATTTCAAGTAATACTTGTAATTTCGTTCGTGAATATAATTTTACGATATTAGAAAAATTATTTAGGGGTGATAGGGGGTTACCAAAGCTGCTTCCCTTCGAGTTTTATTGCAATTTCGCTGTAAGGGGTTTATTATTAACGTTTTACTTAAATCCTCGATAAAATAAAGTAATACAACTTTATATTGGATCCAAATGAATTAGTTTTAAGGGTTTTTAAAGGTAATACAACTTTAAGAGACATCCAAATATCATAAAACGTTAAACAATAAAGTTTAAAAAATAACAATGAACAAATAAATAGTGAAAAATGACTGAAGAATGTGCACAAAAAAGCACAAAACAAAATAAAGATAGAAAAAGTAAAAAAACATAAAAATGAATTAAAAAGATGAAATTCCAGTCTAAAAAAAAAAAAGGGTGTACATGAATAAGCATTTCCTGTTTCTCGAATAACAAAGGCTGGTACTTGATGGATCCCATAAAAGGACCACGTGAAAAAAAATTCCTATCGCATCTTCGAGCAAATGCGTTTTATATAATTACGAGTGACGTTTATAAAGGACAGTTTTGAAGATGTATATCTCGCTAATGTTGTTATATTACTTGATATTTGAAACCTTATTTCGATTTACCAATTGTTAGTAGAGACAAAGAGTGAAAGAAAGAATGACAGAGATAGAATGGAAGATAGAAAGTGTAAATGCGTCGTAGTTTAAAGATATGCGTTACTTCATAATTTACCTATACTGCCAGCCAAAAATATGAAATTCATATTTCGAAGCTTCGTAAATATTTAATGCAAAATTTCTTATTTTCTGAGAACATATAAATATTTCGTCAGCAAATAATTAATATGTATACTGCAACATTTAAGTAGAGTACCCAACATGGCACTAATTCACATTAATTTAATTTACACTAATTTGTAGGCAGACGTTGGTTATCGTACATTTAATTGTTGTCTCAAAAGCGACAATAATGCAGTGTAAAATAGTGTTATGTTTTTAACTGGTAGTATAGGTGTTAGCTTTTCGAAGTTGAATTTATTTTAGACAAATATTTAAATTATTCCTACCATATTATTGTTATATTCGCCGTTCTAAGTGCGCGGCAGGTCTTCCTTGTAACGTGACAGACATTTTTCGAAAATAAAGAAATTCCACAAATATATACCGGGAGCTTCTACGTGATTCTCATCTTCATGCTTTTCCTTCAGTCTTATTGAATTTCCTCTCTCTTTCTTTTTGTTTTTCGGGGCAATATAATGCAACACACTTTATTCATCGTCGTAATGCGCTGTTTTATTAGAAAAACGTTATTAAATATTTCGGACCGGACACACGCAAAACATGCTCATCGATGGTTCGCCAATGGCGACAGACGACGAAATTCTTAAATGATTGCGGCAAATCAGAACTTTTAGCCTTTCATAGCTCAGGTTCATACAGTTTATACTATTTGAGACTTTCAGATGTACAGTAGGTAAAAAAAATACTTATACAAATGCTTCGAAGTATCTGTGCAAGAAATTTATAACGAAGAAATATTATTTGTACCTGCTGTAAAGCCTGTTCTTTTGAAAGAATATTCGAAAGTTTATAATTGTAACCAACTTTACAAATCCTCTGAAAAGGACAAGGATTGCCATCTGTAGGACTCAAACGGTACTAAACACGGAAACAATTGCGCGAAAAACGAATAACGCACTCACTAACAAATAAGACCGATAAGTAATACTAGTGAACATCTTTGTCATTAATTTAAACCGGGGAATAAATATCTGCACGCCGTAACGATCTTATAATAGTCTTTAGGCTAAAACGGTCTAACTGCGACCTAACGATCGAATAAACTATAGCTGCATAACTCTACGATCGTTCACCTCCATGGTTAACGAATGCAACGATAGCTACATTGACGTTAAGGTGGTCGATAAACTCTTTGAAAATTAAAATGATTTATTTTAACGTTAATTTTGTCTTTACAAAGATAATTTATTCGTTGAATGTGTTCAATATATTTAATTTAACTTACTTAAGAAGTTATCGACCATCTTAATGATTAACAAATAAATTAATTGTTGGATAACTGCTTGTTCATCATTGGCATTACGAAACTTGCATATGAAATCGGTTCCAGAGTTATTGTGGGACAAATTGTATAAACCGTCAGTCTTATAACAACGCAAACACACTTATATAACAATCGAACAATGGATTTCCATTTAAAATACTGTTCTCACGATAAAAAGATTTTCCTTTGAGTCTTCCTGTCAAGCTGAATAATTACACGAAGAAAAAAAAAACAAAAGACATAAAATACTGTGTGTCCTTTTCTTTTAATTTATCAATAAATACTTCGTCGTCCTAGTCTTAATTGAAAACTATATAGAACGCCGAGTTCCTCGTCGCGGATTTAATGTTACAATTCTCATGGTTGCGTTATGGCGGAAACTCCATTGAAATTGACGCGTCTCTCCATTTCCTCAAATTCGTTCGCTCGTATATGAAACCAAACTTTCCCGTCGAATTAAATTATTACTTTATGCTATTAAATCAACACATTGACCGTCGTGGAATTTCATTGAACATTTGATAAAATTTTACGCTTTGGGAAATTTTAGAAATGAAAATTTCTTAAATATTAAACATTGTATAGTGTATCAAAATTCACTCAAGACAGTCAACGAGTTGAAGGCCACCGACATTACAAGACGCGGCAAGCCTTGGCAGTATTCAACGAATGTGACTATTGTGTTCATCAGATTGCACCAGAATGGTGCAATTCGCCTACGTGCATGCGTAACGGACGGTTCTTCGTTCCGCACACGTCTACCAAACTAGCATAAATAATTGTACAAATACAATAAATGTGTGTGTGTGTGTGTTCACCCTTCCCCTTTCAACGCTCTCTTGATAGAAAATTCTTCTCATTTAAAACAATCCAAAATCCAGAAAACACAAAGTAAAATTTATACTTTTTAGCAATGTTCGTACTAAATGCAAACGCTGAAAGAAGAAACCTCGCTAAAAATTGTCTATATTTTCTTCGTTCACATAACCTGTACAGGGTGTATCACCCCCCACATAACCTCTCAGAGGACACTTAATACTGAAACCATTCGGGAGCAACGAGGCCCATGTACGTTTAGTCTATTAGAACCAATTATAATCTCTATAGTGAACTGAGGTACGCGTCTAATTCTGCGGCGTATTATCGTCATCTTGCTGGTCGCTAGTCTCTGCTGCCGACGGTATGGTCGCGAGAAGCCTGACAGCTAATCTACTGGGTGATCCAGGTGGTTCTGGTTCCTGGATAGCCAGTTGACGAGTCAGTCTTGGCTTCGACCTGGCTGGTCTGGGCGTGTTTCTCGTCGTTACTTCTAGAGACGCACTTGACCTCGATATTCTCCAAGTACTAGTACTGGCAGTGGTAGCAGAACCTGAGGAATCGTTCCTAGATGAACTGAGATTCGAGTCTTGCGACGGTTTTCTGGTGATAAGCCATGAGGAAGCTCTTCTCTTAGGATCCAGTAACCTCAGTGGAATACCACAGTGATGAGTTTGTCTCCAAGAATCCGACCTTGATGAAGAGAAATTCTCACTGGATGAAACAGACGAGGCTCGTTTATGCTGCTTTTGCTGTATCTCCGCTATCTGATAAGCATACTGGTCGCTACGAGCGTGTCTAGGCCTGGTATCCCTTGCACAAGGCCAAAGTATCCTGGTGCCCCATCGTCGGTAGCCAGAGCACTCTCTGGTCTCTAACAGCCTCGAGTTACAGCCGCAGGGCGTCTGATTGTCGCGTGACGACCTGTCTACAAGGCTGTTCGTGTTCACAGGTGTCTGTCTGTTGCTGAAGTTCGAGCTGTGCCTGCATCTACCGATCCCCCTGGTCACTCTGGACTCCTCGATCGCCTTGCAGATCAATACACAGTCCTTCTTGAACTGTTTGGTCAGGATGGCGTAGAGGAACGGGTTGCAGCAGGAGTTTAATGGCAGTACGAACACAGCGAACACTTTCGCCTGTTCTAGTGACACCAACTGCAACCCGAACGTGGCGGTCAAGGAGAAGAATGCTATGGGAGACCAGCAGAGGAAGTCCGTGAACACCAGCAACGCCATACGCTTGGCGATTCGCGAGTCGTTCGAGTTCCATGCCTGAGAGCCTCTGATAGCGCAGTACATCTTTAAATAGCATCCCATCAGTATCAGGAACGCGACGCCGTTTATCAACATCAGAAAGATCACATAGGCCAGTGCCGCGTTCCCGTTGGTTTCGAATGGTAAACATATCGCGAATTTTCTATAGTCTGATACACCAAGTAGAGGCAAACTAGCCATAGACAGGGCGAAGCACCAGCCTACGGTCATTATGTAACCTGCATGTTTCAGGGAAAGTCTTTTGTTTAAGTGCATGGCGTGTGTTATAGCATAGTTTCTCTCTAAAGTGATCACCGCCAACGTGTACACGCTCAACTCGGAACTGAGGACTCCTAGAAAGCCGGCCAGTTGACATCCGGCTGAAGTTTGCCAAGGAATGGCATACATACGGAATTCTCCTAAGGTTGAGGCGTCCACAACTGCTAATAGACCTGCAATTGTGATGTATAGTCACGTTTATGTCTTTATTCCGTGATCTTGAGCAGGTAATTGATTTTAGACAGATTATAGAGTGGTGTTTTTGGAATGTTATTATTACAAACCTAAATAAATGCCCATAAAGAAGTCTGCCGCGGCAAGGTTACAAACAAGAAACCTAGGCACGTCCATTTTGCTCCTGGAGAATATTAATACGAATACTACGGTCCCGTTTCCAAGCATGGCGAGCAGGAATACTACCCACACGCCACAACGTAGGGTCCACCAGTCGAAGAGATCTTGGCACGGTAGAAAAGGACCTGAAATTCATGGAATAATTTTAATATATTTCTTTTTTTAAGTATAAGGTGATGTTAGAGGATTTGTGGTAATATTTCTTATTAGAGGGGTAACATACCGGGCTGAGGTAGGCACTGTACGCGAGATGGCAGTGTCTGAGCTGGCAGCGTAGCTCGGCTGTTCTGCTCTTCAAAATAATCCTCAACATATGAGGGCAGGTTACCAGGGTACGTAAAATCTGAACCAAAGTTAGCCCAAAGTTCATTTATTTGCGAGCCAAATTTGTCGGTCATGTTATCTAAAACACGTCATCACTTCAGTGCTGCAAAGTCATTGTTTTTTTTTTTTTTTTT